TGCTGCAGCGGATGGACGTGGACTCTGGGAGCTGTTGGTGGCCATGTTTCTTCTTAATCACAGCGACAGCACACAGAGGAAGCGGGGCCCAGGTAAGAGAAGTGAAAAGCAGGAGACAGACAGAGAGGGCAGGCAGAAAGGATGCAGATAGTGAGTGATGGGGTCCCAGGCTCCCACCCCTGCACGAGTCCCAGCTGCATCCCTGTTCAGGCACAGTACCTCCATCTTTTCAGAATATCTACATTGCACAGAAGCTACTCAAGTAGTTCAAGCAATGCCTTAAGTTTGGGCCTCTCTTGAATTTTAAGTTCCCTTGAAAAGTTCAGCAATTCACCCTAGGGTTTCAAGAAATAGTGCTATGCTGATAAAATAATTCCCAGGTCTCTATTCCCAACTCCTCACCAGCTCTCTCTTTACTACTTGGATCTTGCATTATTTCACCCTTAACACTTGTAGAACTGAACACCTCCTGTCCTCCTGAAATTGGTTTGTGCTTCAGAAAATGGCTAAGGACTAGAGCAGTGGCTGCATAAGCTGGGCGCTTTAAGAAAATACTGATCCGCCCTGGCCGGTTTGGCTCAGCGGTTAGAGCGTCGGCCTGCGGTCCAGAGAGACCCGGGTTCGGTTCCCACTAAGGGCATGTACCTTGGTTGCAGTATGTCCCCAGCCTGTCCCCAGCCCTGGTTGGTTGTGCGGGTGGCAGCCACTCAATGTGTCCCTTTCACGTCGATGTTTCTCTCTCTCTCTCTCTCTCTCTCTCTCTCTCTCTCTCTCCTTCCCACTCTATCTGAACAAAAAAATGGAAAAATGTCCTTGGGTGAGGATAAAAAGAAAAAAGAAAATACTGATCCAAGGCTTCAGAGAACAACTGAATCAGAATCTCTACGGGTACAGTCCAGGCTCAAACAAATGTTTGTTTTCTCGGGTCTTAGTTTAATGAGGTGTCAATGAGGGAGGGGAAGCTCTTATTTGGCTTAGGATTCTAGGGACTTTGGTTTTAGTTTTACCAATTGGTTCTTGCTCCTACTATGAAAAGGAAGGGGGTGGGGTGGGAAGCATTTGCATGTATTCCTTTTTTCTTCCCTGATTACCCCCAAAAGAGCTTTCAAATAATCTCCTAAGTATTGAAATACTGAAGTCATAAACTAGTTGCAAAAAATCAGCTTACTGGAACAACAGGAAAGACATTCTTTTGCTTTTCAAAGGCTTTCCCATCATCGAGAGCCAAAAATATTATCTTCTGACCCAAAAAGCCACTAATAGACCTTGTTTCTTTCTATAGGCCAAGCAAGAGAGATGATTTTGCCCTAAGCTACAAGGCAAAAAGAACAAGACTGTTCTCTGGATACTCCCACCCCCACTTCTGCCCTCTCCCACCTCCGTTAGGCCACCCTCCACTTTCAGGTACCTCCCTCCTGCCCCTGTGCTGCCCGGAGTCCCACAAGCTATCCCCATTCCCACAGGCTTCCTTCCTTCTTAAGAGCTCCCTAGCCCCACGTTAAATGCCCCTATTTTTCCCCTCCCCCTCCAAATTCCAAATCCCACCTAGCTGCTAGGTACAGATGCTAGGTACAGCCGCTCAGCAGTCTTAGCACTCTCCCGCTCTTTGTAAGATTGTCCACGCACAGAATACTCAGTTCCTCTCCATTTCTTCAGGAGCTTGAGGAGTAAGAGAAGCCTGCATTATGGGGGCACACAAAGGAAAGTTGGCAGTAGCATCCCTGCATAACTGGGGACCATTTGCTAGTGATGCACCAATAAGAAGTTAAATTAATGGTACTGTATTTTTTGCTACTGATCCATTGGAAAACTGAAAAAAAAAAAAAGCTAAAACAGTAAGCTTCAGTTATGAAGACAATTCACTTGTGTGAACCTACTCCCCTAAACTGCAAGATAAATTAAAATAAAAACCTATCTACTATATTTATATTGTAAAAGATGACGTTGGTGTTCCAAATTAATCTCTAAATGGCAGAGTAGGGAGGGGGAGGGGGGGGAGGCAGACTGTGGACCCTTTGTCAACTCCCTGCTTCAGAAGACCTCAAATGACTGCGTCACTAAAAACTCAGAGACCAATAAAGGGCACCCCTCTTTCTGAAAGTTGCTCAACTGACCCAAGCCTCGAAGGGTTAAGACACAGCAGGAGGTGAGCAGCAGCTCTCCAAAAGGCCACACACCTCTAACTCTACAGCTCTGCCTACAAAACAAGAACATTCATCACCTCCCTCCCTCGGGACTCTTAGCAGGTTTCATCAGTGGCCGGTGACAATAAAAATGTTTGTTATTTATAATGCCCAATAGCATGCCGTGCCTGAGGACAGAGCCCCAGAGCACAGGGATTAAGCTTTTAGAATGTGATACAATTGTGGGTGGAAAAACTCCAATCATGACCTCCTCAAAATACCAGAATAAGAAACAAAGATGGACAGAATAACCCAGAGGCCAGGAGCCTGTCCACATTCACCACGGTCTCCCACCCAACCCACTGCGCTGCTCCTCCTGCCTGCTCCCTAAGTACTGGGGCTCCTCAAGGCTCCGACCTAGGCCTTCTGCTCTCACTCCACATTCTCTCCTTCGGAGACCTCATCCTCTCCCATGGCTTCAGTTAAAGTCATCAGCTCCCAAATGTTGATCAATACTCAGCCTAGGTGCTTCCCCTGCTAAAGACCTATTTCTCTTAAAGGTACCTACTTAAAATTGAACTCAGCGTGCTCCTTCCAATCCCCACCCAAGCCTGCTCCTTCACCAGGTTCCCCACTGCATCCAGTAAATTCCCATTATTCTCCCAGCTACATAAGCAGGCTCACTGAGACACAGTCATCTCCAAGGCATGTGGACCTCCAGAACTCACTGTATGTTGTTGTGAAAAAAGAAAGATGTGAAACCATGTTTAATAGTATGCTGACTTGTGTGTACCAAAGGGGATACATATACACATACACACACACACACACACACACACACACACACATCTCACATATTCATTTGCATATGTTTTCAGAAAGAAACAAAGGGAGGACACATCAAAATAATAAAAACGGTTACCTATACGGAGGGAGGAAGGAAAACTGGTGGAGGACACTGAGATTAAAGGAAACTTCTGTGACTGTATCTTGTTATACAGTTTTGACTTTGGGAAATGTTGTATATAAATGTTTCATATAATTTTTAATTAAATAAAAAAGAAACAAAATCCCTAAAAATTAAAAACAAATTAAAGCAGATTAACCTAACTGTATGTCACAGTGGGAATATACCTGTACGAAGAAAAGAATTACTAAACACAGTACTCTGACCAGACATCCCTACAGGGAAATGCTTGTGGGCCAAAAAAGAACCACAAAGAAATCTTACATTTCATTCTGAGTCTACTGCTAGTAGTAAAAGCCAATATAGTTATTTTAAAACTACAACAAGTATATTGTAGGTGTGCAGAACAGAATACATTTTAAAAAAGCTGCTATCCTTAGAAAAGTGAGCTTGTAAGGTTGGCCCTTGGCTGGCATCTGGGAAACTGGATTTGGAGTGGTTCCCACCATTCCCAGAACTGATAAGAGTGGCTCACTGTGTGCAAACAATAAGGCTTATGCTGAACACCTGCTTTCCTTCTAGAAGTCTGGAAGTTTAGTCTGTGCTAGGCAGAGGTGCTTATGTGACCTGTCCCCAATAAACCCCTAGGCAGCAAGTCTCTAACGGCCCTCCCTGGTGGACAGTATTTCACACAACCTGATGGAGCGCTCACTGAGACCATCTGAGCATTTAAAACAAAACTAACATTAATTAAAATATACCAAATATATAAACATATATGTTTAAAATATATGAAACCCAAAGCTCCACTGGTCAACAATGGAGTGTGCTAGAGCCCAAACTCACTACTATGAAAATTAATAAATCAAGAGAAAGATCCAAGCACTAATCCTGCCTTTTAGTATGAACAGAATTTCAGAGTAACCATACAGATGATGAGGAAAAGGCCTTCATTAAAGAATTCCAGCAAATAAATGGAGAACGAAATCATGAACCTAAGCAATGACCCTCAGTGGGTGCTAAAACCATTTAGGTGAAATACCGACAGGGATTTTATAACAGAGGGATCAGCTAACTCCACCTGACCCCACGGATCCATCCTAGAAGCTCTAAATGTGTGACAATCAGACCCCACCTGCCCTTTGATGACATACGACAGGAAGTATACAACATCAACTATGAGATGCTCTCACCAAATAACTGGATCTGAATTGAATCAAGCCTCTACATCAAATTTCCTATTGACAGGAAATATGGGGAACAGAGAAACATGGCAAATGACAGCACAGAGAAGCCATCAGCCAAATCCTGGATGTGGATATCCTAGATGACAATGACCTGCTTCCACCAACCATCAATGTCTTCAGAAAAGTGAGGGTGGTGGTGGTGGCAGGAGGGTATATAACTATAGAACAAGAGTCAAAGCAATAAAAAAGGCAAGGTGATCATGTCACTCTCTTAATTAGAACTTCTGGACCTGCCAACTCTTGTAGGTGCACCTCTCATCATGTCCCTTCTGTGCTCCAGCCACCGTCCCTTCCATTCAGTTCTGTGAACTAACCTGCTCTAGTCCTCAGGCACTACCACATGCAGTTCCCACTCCTTCGGGGAGGGGGAAAAGCCCAGTCCCTTGGCCTGCCCCTTGTCAACACTCACAGCACCCTGCACTTCTCAGGAAACGTGTATTTGTTTCACATCTGCCCTTCCCCCAGGGACTAGAAGCTCCTTGAGGGCCGGCACCACATCTTTCAGCACAGTGTGACAGGTGGTAGGCACCCAATAAAAATCTGCTTAACACATGTGTGAATAAAGTATCAATCACATGGCTCAATGACACCAGGCAGGAATTTGGGGACACGCTGTATCAATAAAGCCCAGCATAGGTCCTACTGATCTTCACTGCTGTGATATCTATTTTTAGTACCCAGAACCCAGGCCTGAGGAGCTGAGGGTCACAGAGAAGAACTCACCGCTTCGTGGGACTTGGGAACAGGTATGATGATGGCCAGCACACAGATGAGCTGGAAGATGGCCCCCAGAAAGAGTCCATACCGCAGCAGGTTCTCCAGGAAAGTGGGCTCAGGCACCTCGGGAGGTGAGAAGTCCAGGTCGGAGGCCATGGCCTCAGCTGCCTGCTGTCTGAGGTCTCCTCTGCTCACCACACTCCAGAGCCAACCTCTAAACGCAAAGGGTACATGTCAGATTTCTACAACTGACTTTTATTTATTTATTTTTAATATTATATTTATTGATTTTAGAGAGAGAGAGACAGAAACATCGATGAGAGAGAACATTGACTGGCTGCCTCCCGCACGCCCCCGAATGGGAATTTGACCCACAACCCGTGCATGTGTCCTGACCAGGAATTGAACCGGCGACCTCTTGGTGCATGGGTTGATGCTCAACCACTGAGCTACACTGGCCGGGCTACAACTGACTTTTAAATGGTTCCACTACACAAACTCACACATGTACATGCAAGAATATATAAAGCAGTTGTGGTGAAATCTTAACAATTCTTGAATCTAGGTGGAGGATATATGGATAGTCATTGAACCATTCTTTCAAGTTTGTGGTATGTTTGAGATTTTTCCAATTGTTAAGTTAGGAAAAATAAGTAAATGCAAACACTTCAACAAAAATCTCAAATCAACATACATTTACTGAAGGCCGGCTATGTTTCAGATTTGCTTATGTGTTCATTAATTCATCCAGTCACTCATCATCCCATGGACTGAGAGGTCCCGGTTTGACTCCCAGTCAGGGCACATGCCTGTGTTGCAGGCTCAGTCCTCAGAAGGGGGCATGCAGAAGGCAGCCGACTGATGTCTCTCTCTCACATCTCTCTCTCCCTTCCTCTCCCTCTCAAAAAACCAATAAAAACATATTTAAAAAAAAAAGAGAGAGAGAGTGAAAAGACAAATTGGGAAAGTTTGGTGGTGTCTCAAAAAGTTAAATAAAAATTACCGTATGATCTAGCAATTCCACTCCTAGGCATATACCCAAAAGAATTGAAAGCAGGAACTCCACCAGATATTGTATATCAGTGTTCACAACTCTATTATTTGTAATATCCAAGAGATGGAAATAGTCAAGAGTCTAGCAACAGATGAATGTATAAACAAAATGTATCTATATACAAAAGAATAAAATTCTGATACACGGATGAACTCTGAAAACACTATGCTAAGTAAAATAAGTCAGACACAAAAGGATAAATGTTGTATCATTCCACTTATATGAGGTACTGAGAGCAGGCAAATTCATAGAGACAGAAACCAGAATACAAATTACCAAGGGCTAAAGGAGGGAAGTGTGAAATTATTGTTTAATGGGTACAGAGTTTCAATTTGGCGTGATGAAAAAGTTCTGGAAACAGACAGTGGTGATGATTACACAATATTGTGATTGCCATTGAACTGTACACCTAAAAAATAGTCAAAGTAGTAAATTTTATGTTATGTGTATTTTACCACAATAAAAAAAAAATTTATCTGTTTCTCTTTACTTTTTAAATGTAGCTCCTAGGAAACTTAGTTACACCCAAGACCTGCATTATACTCCTCAGCATAGCTCTGGCTAGAGACTGTCCTGAGACCGTCCTCCACTTTGGTTCTGCAGCTTCACTGCTTTTTCCAACATGAAGCAGTAGTGACTAGAGGATAACAAAAATGACCTTCTAGCTAAACAGATTGGGACTTATGTAAAGGTACATTATCTCTTTTTCAACCTGGTCACTGAGGAAGGTCCTGTGCCTATGCCAGCAAGGTGGCTGCCTTTTCGCACCACTTGTCTTTGGGAATCGCCTTCAAAGCCTGAGGCTCCCCCTCCCCCCGCCTTTTTTCCCCCAAAGTCCACAGAACTGGCAGCTCTTCATCCTTCCAGGAAGGATTTAACTTCTGGAAAGAACTCAACCTCATCTGGATCCAAGTGTGGTGAATCCGGTGGAGCCGCAAGCTCAGGAATACCATTTTTGGTCACATACAAGGTATGACACTAAGAAACCAGGCAAATTTTTGGGGGTGGCTCATAAACTGGCCCTGAAGCAAATTCCAAGGCAGCTGAGAACAGCTTCACTGGAGAAAACATACAGCCCCAATGGGGCTCTATATCCTATGCCATGTGTATAACAAGGTGTAAGAAAGGTCTCTCATTTCGCCATGTGAATAACAAGGTGTAAGAAAGGTCTCTCATTTCTTCAGTTGCACCTTATAAATACACACTTTTAAAAATGCCTTCAGTAGCTCGCTCTCTCTCTCCCTCGCCCTCTCTCCTTTCCCCACTCCCTTCCCCAGGCACATTTTACTCCCCCCCCCCCCCCCCCCCCCCCCCCCGTAAGCTCCAAGGGTCCTTCTTTTGCCTCTGTAACTTGTTTCCTGAGCCCATTTCTTCTACAACTCACTTCTTCTACCTCTGTGACTTTCTAAATAAACTTTTTTTGGGGGGGAAAAGCTTTCGGCCCCAAGCTTTACCCTTTAGGCTGTAACAAGCTTACTTGGCTTATCAATAGTTAGATTTATTAGTGTTACCAACAACACTGTTATGTACATTTGTAGTACAGTAAAAACATGGGTCCCACCCTGGCCATTTTGGTTCAGCAGTCAGAGCATAAGCCTATGGACCAAAGAATCACAGGTAGGCACCTCGGTTGCAATTTGATCCCTGGCCCTGGTCAGGGTCATGTGGGAGACAACCAATCAATGCATGTTTCTCTCACATCGATGTTTCTCTCTCTCTCTCTCCCTCCCTCCCTCCCACTCTATCTGAAAAATAAATGGAAAAATATCCTTGGGTGAGGACTAAAAAAATTAAAAAACGGCCCTGGCTGCTTTGGCTCAGCGGTTAGAGCGTTGGCCTGAGGTCCAGAAGAGACCTGGGTTCGGTTCTCACTGAGGGCACGTACCTTGGTTGCAGTTTGTCCCCAGCCCTGGCCCAACCAGGGCCGTGCGGGAGGCAGCCACCCCATGTGTCCCTTTCACGTCGATGTTTCTCTCTCTCTCTTCCTCTCTCTCCCTCCCACTCTATCTAAACAAAAAAATGGAAAAATATCCTCCGGTGAGCATAAAAAAATTAAAAAACAAAACACCAGGTCCAGGAGTCAGGAATCATGGGCACCAACCCAGACTCCATCAGCAATTAGCTATACTTAGGGCCGATCTCTTGACCTCCTGGAGACTGGATATTCTCGTGAACCAAACAACAATAATATCTACTGAAAGCTATGATGCATTTAGGCTTTTTTTTAAACATGGCAATTAGGTAAAATATAACAAGAGCCATAAAAGTGATTATATCCTTTGATTGAATAACACTTCCTAGAATTTACAGTAAGGAAACAATTCAAAAGAAGAAAAAGGCTTCAGGTATAAAAAAAAGTTCATGGCAGTGCTACTCATAATACCGAAAACAGGAAGCAACTGAAGTGTCCAACCAATCGATGTGTCTCTCTCACATGAATGTCTCCCCCCCACACACATACAATCTAAAAATCAATGGAAAAATATCCTCTGGAGAGGATTAAAAATAATAATTATTATTATAATAATAAAATAAAAGGAGCCCTGTCCAGTTTGGCTCAGCAGTTAGAGCGGCAGCTCATGGACTGAAGGGTCTCCAGTCCAATTCCTAGTCAAGGGCACGTATCTAAGTTGCAGGTTCAATCCCCCGCCCCAGTAGGGGTTGTGCAGAAGTCAATGTGTCTCTTTCACATCTGTTTTTCTTTCTCTCCCTCCCCCCTCCTATCAACATAAGAAACATTCAACCTGTAAAGAATTTCAGTGAGCCCTGGCCGGTTTGGCTCAGCGGTTAGAGCGTCCACCTGCGGTCCAGAGAGACCTGGGTTCGGTTCCCGCTAAGGGCATGTACCTCGGTTGCAGTTTGTCCCCGGCCCTGGTTGGTCGTGTGGGTGGCAGCTGCTCGATGTGTCCCTTTCACATCGATGTTTCCCTCTCTCTCTCTTCCTCTCTCTCCCTCCCACTCTGTCTGTACAAAAAAATGGAAAAAATGCCCTCGGATGAGGATTAAAAAAAAAAAAAAGAATTTCAGTGAGTTTATTTGAGCCAAAACTGATGACCGTTGCCATGAAGCAAAATCTCAATGGACTGAAATAATGCTCCAGAGAATGGTAATTTTTTTTAATCCTCATCCAAGGATATTTATCCATTTATCTCATGTAAGAGTGGGAGGGAGGGAGGGAGGGAGGGAAGGAGGGAGGGAGAGAAACATCATTGTGAGAGCGACACATGAACTGATCGCCTCCCGCAAGACCCCACTAGGGCCAGGGACAAACTGCAATCAAGGTACGTGCCCTTGACCGGAATTGAACCTGAGACTCTTTGGTCCGCAAGCCAAAACTCTAACCATTGAGTCAAATCGGCCATGGCCAGAGAATGATAATTTGCACCTTATCTTATACATTACAACCAAAGAGGAGCCACAAATGAGTTAAGTGAAATTCATTAGTGATAGATTAGGGAGGTGAGAGAAAGCAAAGCGGGGAAACCTCTGGGATCAGATAAAAAGTAAAATGATAGCCCTGGCCGGTTTGGCTCAGTGGTTAGAGCGTCGGCCTGCGGTTCAGAGAGACCCAGGTTCGGTTCCCACTGAGGGCACATGCCTTGGTTGCGGTTTGTCCCCGGCCCTGGTTGGATTGTGCCGGTGGCAACCACTCGATGTTTCCCTTTCGCATCGATGTCTGTCTCTCTCTCTCTCTTTCTTCCCCTCCCCCCCCACTCTATCTGAACAAAAAATGGGAAAGTGTCCCCAGGTGAGGATAAAAAAAAAAAAAGTAAAATGATAGACATATACATCTTTTACATAGGTGGGTACAGGATAGTTAACAGTCAACAATTAACTCAGTAACAATGAGGGGATTTGTGGTCTCCGCAGAGCGGTGCCTGTGCTTTGATGGGCCCGGAAAAAGGAAAATTACTTTTAACATTCCAAAGATATGTTATTGTAAATGCAAAAAGACAATAGACAGGCTCAGTTATGGTAAAGGTTGCCCTCTGTCAGGGAAGGTGCCAGCCTAGGACATGACTACCTGCCATAAACTGCTTTTAGTTAAAAAGTTTTCATTTCAGGCCATCCTTTGTGTTACTTTAACAGGCCTTACCTGAGCTTGCCAGGTTAGTATGTGGCCCCTTTTCATCTACACTCCCTTCCACTCTGTCTAAAAAAAAATCAATAGAAAAATATCCTCAGGAGAGGATTAAAGAATAAATAAAAGGAAAAATCCATGCCCTGTGTACCTCCTTTGCAAGACTTGTATAGGGTTCAATGAAGCGCTGTCCAACAGAACTTTCTGCAAGGATGGAAATGTTCTATATATGTGTTTTCTAATATGGTAGCCACCAGCAATGTGTGGCTTTTGAGCACATACATTTAGCTACTGAGAAACTGAATTTTATTTAACTTGAATTAATTTAAAAATCAATAGTCATATGTGGCTAGAGGACCCCCATTTGGGGCAGTGTAGGTATAAAATAAGGGTGGTTGTAAAAATGTTCTGGAAAACAAAATGCTTTACACACATTGTGTATGCTTTAGAATTTGTGTCTGATTTTCTCTGCACCCCTGTGCTTTATTTCCCACCCTGCCTGCCAGTATTTCTGGGTTTTCCTTTCCTGATTACAGAAGTCACAAGAGTCCTACTCATGCTTCAGCACTCAAGTCGGAGGTGTTACCCTGGGGCTCCCTGTGATAGGCTTTGTTCACCAGCACCACCCCCATTGTCACAGCAGTAGCAGTGAACAAATCATTTGCCAGAAGTGCACACACACTCAACTCCTTCACTTCACAACCACTCTGGGAGGCAGGTATTACTAATGAGGATGAGAAAACCCGGGCTTGTAGAGGTCACATGGGCCAGCCAGGGATTGGTTGGCTGAGAAGTGGTAAAGTCAGGACTTAAACTGGCTGACTCCTCCAGATCCGGAGCTCTTACCCACCAGGTCAACAGTTTTCAAACTGCAGGCTGTTGCCCACTAGTGAGCCATAGAAACCATTTCCAAAGCTATAGCCAGCACTTTAAATAAATGACAAAGAGAAAATATCACATTAGTAAGGGTGAGTATTGTGTTCTGAAGCTTTTTTTCAGTCATATCAATCTATTTCCAAGTATGGATGTTCTGGGTCAAAATTCCAAATGTATTTCTTATTGTCTAAGAAGGGAAGAGACTCCCTGAGGTGGTATTTCAGCAGAAGCAAGAAGAAAGCAAAGAACAAATCATTAAAATATGTTACGGTACCCAAGGATGAAGGAACAGCAAGGGATAATAAACTCCTGAGGCAGGAATGAACTTTATGATCAAGAACAGTAGAGCAGCCCGGCCGGTGTGGTTTAGTGGATTGAGCATCATCCCATGCACCAAGAGGTCACCAGTTCGATTTCCAGTCAGGGCACATGACCTGGTTTCGGGCTTGATCCCCAGAAGGGGCTGTGCTTTTTTTCAATCATATCAATTTACATCCAAGTATGGAGGTTCTGAGTCAAAATTCCAAATGTATTTATTGTTTGAGAAATACTACACCAAGTCTGTTTTTCACTTGCTCCACTATAGGCTCCTGAACAACAGGAGCTACCTGGGTCTACCTTGAGTTTATTCCAGGGCCTGACCCAAATTTATCTCCCTCTCCCTTCCTCTCTCTTTAAAAAAACCAATAAAAATATTTTTAAAAGAACAGTAGAGTAAGCAAACTGTATAAGGACAACAGGCCATTATAAGTACTTTGGCTTTTCATTTGAGTGAAAGGGGAGCCACTGGAAGGTTCTTAGTGATGATGATGATGATGGCATGGTCTGACTCATCTTAAAATGATCCTCTGGCTGTTGTGTTAAGCATAGACTATAGGGTACAGGGAGACCGGTTAGGAGGTTACTATCATAGTAAAACAGTCACACTCGAACCAGGGTGGTAGCAGTGGAGGTGGTAAATTCTCAAGTTATATATATATTTTGAAGAGAAAACCAACAGGATTGCTGAGGTGAAATCTGACAGAAGTTAAAAATAATCCCTGAAGATGAAAACTATTTTGTATGATGCTGTAATGGTGAGCACAGAACATTACACATTAGTCAAAACCCACAGAACTTTGCAGCACAAAGAGTAAACTTTAATGAGTGCAATTATTATTTTTTAATCCTCACCCAAGGATATTTTTCCATCTATTTCCAGGCAGAGTGGGAGAAAGAGAGAGAGGGAGAGAGAGAAAGAATTATCAACGTGAGAGAGACACATGGACATGATGCCTCCAATATGACCCCGACCAGGGCCAGGGACGAACAGCAACCGAGGTACATGCCCTTGACCAGAATCGAACTTGCGACTCTTTGGTCCTTGGGCCCACGCTCTAACCGCTGAGCCAAACTGGCCAGGGCAAGTGTGCATGCAATTATGTTTTAAAAAGCATTTAGGAGGTGAGGGTATCTCAGGATGGAACGCAGAATGTGACATTCTGAATCTAAAAATATACAAATGTATTAAACTTTGCTGAAAAGGTACAGAGGAGCAGGTACTGATCTCAGCAACTCTGGAAATGAGTACAGTCTGTAAGACTAAAGGCAAAATGTGCACTGTACTCTAGTTGATTAAATTCCCACAGGGAATATAGGTTAACAATTCTGAAGCCACTATTCTTACAGGTTAGATACATATATCTCTTGCTCTGCCTGCTAAGGGGGCCTAGAAGCATGAGCATCTCAGTAGCAATGAGAACACCTGAGCACCCAGATCTTGGTGTCTAATACTACTCTCCAATAAAAGGAATCAAAATTCCTTGGAGAAATGATTAATTTTAGGACTGAGGCAGAAAATATACAAGATAAGCCTGGAGCAGAAAGTAAAGTGTTGACAGAACAAAACATTGATTGGGGTATGTCAAAGAGATATAGAAGACAACAGAAAGGTATTAACCACAACAGAAAAACTTGACTACTCAAGCTCGTGATCCAGATTAGCATCAGCAGTGAGAACAGCATGTGTTCTTCATGTGATGTGGTAAGAAGGGCACTTCATCTCTGTGGTCTTCCTACCCATAACTCAGAACTCCAATCTAATCATGAGAAAACACCAGAAAAATCCCAATTGAGGGTCATTTTATAAAATATCTGACTAGTAATCAAAACTGTCAAGTTTATCTAAAATTAGTCAAGTCTGAGAAACTATCACAGCCAAGAGGAGCCTAATAAGACATGACCACTAAATGTAATGTGGCATCCTGGTTGGGATCTTGTAACAGAAAAAGGACATTAGGGGCAAACAGCAAATCTGAATAAAGCATAGACTTCAGTTAATAATAACTTACCAATACTGGTTCACTAACTGAAAAATGTACTACACTAATGTAAGACGTTAATAGGGGACTCTGGTGTGAGGCATATGGGAACTCGCCGTAGTTATGTATCTCCATAATAATCACATAAATCTAAAATTATTCTAAAATAAGTTTAATGAGAAAGTCAACATTAAAATAAATAACCCCTGAAACATTTCTAGCTCTCCAGACTTAGCAAATAGAAATAAAATCTTCTCTAAGACTGAAATACCCAGATTCCAAGTGTGTTGGTAGAGGATTCTTGGCTTCTAATGAAGTGCTTTTAAAATTCCGTTCTGAGAATTCAACTGAAGCAGATTAGGGGACCAAAAATCAGCCTCATGAGTTAGTCCCTGTCCCGTAGAAATGGGCTGTGTATACCCAGACCCATTCCATCACAACAAATTCCCAAGAACTGCTCAAAACCGTCTTAAAATCGTGCCCTATAGAAACCTAAGGCATCTCCCAGAGCAGTCAGAACTGGCCGCCAGTGGGGTTGAAACTGGTGTACAGATGCCCTGCAAGATGTAATTAATAAATCCGGATGTGTTACCACCACTTAGAAAGTGTGAGGTTTCCACATACTCATTTCCCACTTGTTGTTAAACTAATTCACCCAACACGCACTGTGTGCACCGTTACCAACTGCTTCGCATTCACCATCCCACTGATCCTCAGGACAAGCCCACGTGCCCGTCCTGGAGGAGGAAACTGAGAACCCGACGGGAAACCAGAGCTGCCCAGGGCCACACAGCACTGCGGGGCGCGCTCAACGGCGAAGCCCGGAGCCGCGGCTCCTCCCAGTGCTCCGCTCACGGCCGGGAGGACAGCTGGGTCCTGGCCGGGCCCTGAGCTAAGCGCTGGACCGCACCAGGCGAGGCCTCCCGCCTCCCAGGAGCTCAGATTCCCCTCCGCAACTAACTTCCTAACGAGCCCCGGCGAAGTTATTCCGGCCCGCGCCGAGAGGCGGAGGCCAGCAAAGCAGAGCCGCCGGGGACAGCAGAGCCACGGCGGCCCAGCCCAAACCGCGCTCCGTTCCCGCCGCCTCTGCGACTCCGCCCCGCCCGAAGCCCCGGCCGGGCCGCCGGCGCCGCCGCACTCACCGTCAGCGCCGCCGCGCACCGCCCCCGGAAGTGGTTCTCCGCGACCGCAGATCCCGGAAGTGACGCGCTGAGCAACCCAGGGGCTCAGTTCCGCCTGCGTTGCCAAGGCTGACGGTTTGTTAGACTGGACCTTACGGGTTTGAGCCAGAGGGAGAGGCCTGGGAAAGCAAGATCGAGACCCCCTCGCTTCTCCAAGTGTATCACTCGGCCCATTTCAACAAATGTTTATAGATGTTATAGAAGAAGCCTTGATTCTATGCCAGGCCTTGAGCTAGGGGCCTACAATGCAGAGGAGAGACAAGCACATTCTTATAATTCTAACAAAAGCAAATTATTATAATGCGCTCAAAACATTCACCGAGCAGGTTCCTACTCTATGCCTTGTGCATAGACTACATACTGGGACTACATAGACTACTGGGACTACAGTGCTGAACCGGACAGGTGCAGTCTGTGCCCTCATGGAGCTGATATTCTGGTGGAGGGAGATAGACTAAAATAATTAAATGAACATGGAATCATATAATGTGATAAGTATTTGAAAGGCGAAGAACAGGATTCCATAACTGAGTATGGGTGGGCAAGTGGAGGGAAAATAGATCTAGTTTAGAGTGTGGACACCAGCCTCCACCATGGAACTCCATGATTCATAACTCCTGGTATCCATTCCCTGTGTAGTCCCCTCCCACACTGAATAGGGCAGACCAGTATGCCCAATAGGATATTGTGGAAATCATGAGTGTCAAGATTAAAACATAAAAGACGTTGCTTTTCCTCTTTGTTCTCTCTTGGTCAGTCATGGGGAATCCATGTTATGAAGACAATGAAGCAGCCCTAGAGAGAGGTTCTCATGGGTAATAAGTGAGGCCTCCTGCAAACAACCAACTCCAAATTGCCAGTCATGTGCAATGGGAGTGGATCCTCCAGCCCCAGTCAAGCCTTCAGACAAGTGAAGCCTTAGCCAAAAGCACAAGTATAATCTCACATTCACAATAATAAAGATATGTCTAAAAAGAAAATAACAGAAATATAATCTCATGAGAGACTTTGAGCAGAAACACTCAGTGAAATCACTCTTGAATTCCTGACTCCCAGAAATCGTGAAATAATAAATGCTACTATTTTAAGCTCCTAATTTGTTGTGCAGCATAGATAAGGAATGTGTAGAAGATCAAGGAGGAGGGGTTGGATACTGGAGATTCAAAAAAGAATGAGACCTAACCTTACCCTCAAAGAACTCACTCTCTCTTGGAGGATACAGACAGAAATAATTATAACTCACTCAACACCATGAGAATAAATAACATGGGAGATACAATCAGAGGATGATCAAGAAAGGCCTCTGTGGAGGTAACATGTAAGCTAAGAAATAAAGAATGAGTAGGAATTTGCCAGGCAACGAGAAGAAAGAGCATGGTGGGAGGTGGAAAAGCTGTGGGAAAGGCTTGGAGCATAAGAAGCAGGGAGAAGCTAAGGCCTGAAAGGTACATATATTTGGGACAAGACTAACTACTTTCCCTGAAGGGGCTCACTGTGGGGTATAGATGAGGAGGGTTATCGGCGATAGAGATGTTTTATGGGGTGAACTGTGTCTCCCAAAAAGGATAAATTGGAGTCCCAACCCCAGTACCTCAGAATATGGTCATATGGAGATAGGGTCTTTACAGAGGCAATCAAGTAAAAAGGAGGTCATTAGGGTGGGTCCTAATCCAGTATGATTGGTGTCCTTATCAAAGAAGGAAATTTGGTCACAGATGCACACATAGAATGCCATATGAAGATGAACACAGAGATCAGGGTGATGCTTCTACAAACCAAGGAATGCCAAAGATTGCCAGCAAACCACCACAAGCTGGGGGAAAGCCATGGAACAGAGTCTTCCTCACAGCCCTCATACTGACACACACCTTGATTTCAGACTCCTGGCCTCCAGCACTGTGAGAAAATAAAGATCTGTTGTGTAAGTCTCCTGGTTTTCGTTACCGCAGCCTTAGCAAACTAATACAGGTGGTTTGAAAACTGTTATTCTTTGTATCCAAACATAAAAGATCCTCAGTGTGGCTGCTGCAGGCTCGTCTACTTTCTCGTTCTTTGGAAGCTTCCGAAGGGTCCCAGCTGAGTCTTGCTCATCTGAGCCCTGCAAGGCTCCATTAGCACCACAGCATGATGGGGAGCTCTGTGGCATGCTGGTTCCTATCTGTAATATCTACGCGAGGCCTACTGCTTGCACTATGGAAGAGAAAAGGTTGAAAAAGGCATGGTCTCTGCTCTGAAAAAAAATCTAAATTAGATTAACACATGATGGGATGAACCGATTTGTAATTAATAATTATAGCTGCCATTTATTGAATATTCACTAGGTGCCAAGCACTTTGCACATGTAATTTTCCCACAGCCATCCTATGTGGTAGGTATTATTCTTCGCATTTGGAGGTGAAGGAACCCAGGGCTGGAGAAGGTAAGCAACTTCCCCAAGGCCTCACAGAGACTGCGTATGTAACCACTGCACTACCCAGCCAAGCAGTGCAAGCCGGATGAGCACTCCAGGCATGAGTGCTCTAGGAAGAGGGAAAGATCACCAAGGACTGAGGTATCTGGGAAGGCTTCATGAGAGAGGTGGCTTGATGTGGTTCCCGGATGATGGATTGGATTTGGATATGGAAAAGGAAAGAAAAGTAGAAAGATTTGTTTTTCTACCTCCAAGACTTTGCCTTCCTCCATCTATCTCTTTACCTGGAATGCTCTTCTCTCCTAGATTTTCACAAGAAAGGTTGTTCTCATCCCTCAGGCCTCAGCCCAAATAACATCTTTTCAAAAAGGGCTTCCCTGATCACACTTTCTAGCTGATTGTTTTTTCTAAAGATGGCTCCATCCCACACGCTCTTCTACCCCATGCCTGCTTTGACCAATAGCACACCATGGAAGTCAGCCACCATGGAAGAAGTGCGACTAGCCTGAGATCACTGAGCTGTGAGAAGCCCAAGCCATATGGGAGGAAGAGAATTCAAGAAGCAGCAGTCACCAGACCTGGGAGTGAAAAAGCTTGGACAGGTGGAGCGATACACAGATGTGTGATAAAGACGACACACTGTTAAGTGCAGAATCTGGGTGGTAGGTAAAGTGTTCGCTATACAACTCTATCCACTATTTGTGTGTAATTGAAAATTTTTACTACAAAATTTGGGGCAAACAATAAACCATCTTGGAAGTGGATTCTCCAGCCCCAGGCACCTCAGCTAACACCACATGGAGCAGAGATGAACCTCCCAGCCCAGATTTTCCCATATCCCCAACTCACAAAATAACAAGCTAAATAAAAGTGTTGTAAGCCACTACGTTTTAGAGAAACTCTATAAGTAAACTTCACTGTCTTTCACAGCTTCGTACCCATTTCTTTTATAGCATTGCCACATCTATAAGTATCTTGTTTGCTTACTTATTTATCATTAGTCTCTTTCCCCAGTAGAATGTAATCTCCATTGTCTTTGTTCACTCCTGCCTCCAAGCACCTAGCACATCACCTGGTGGTACATGTAGGCAAAATGACTGTTTGTTGAGTGACTGGCTGGGATCAGGAGATGAAGCCCTTCTGAAGAGTGACAGAAGACAATATGGACTTCATAGGGTGGGGGGAAAGCTGGTTTTGGTCACTTGGGCTGCTCACCATCTGAGCCCCCATTTGTGGGAATCCCAAGAAGCAAGAAGAGGCAGCCCTCTCTCCCACTATGGCAGATGGATGCGGTAGCACATCCTCTCCTCAATCTCTGCTAGAGGATGGATGCTGGACCTAATCAGAAGCCCCCACTCCAGGCTCTGAATCTGGAGGCAGAAATGCCAGCTGCAAGGATCAGTGAGCCCAGAGTCTGGGGCTCTGTTCAGAGCAGGTAGTTTGAGGGGCAGAATCTTGGCCACACCATCAACTCCTTCTCTGTCTCAGGTTCAGCTCTGGTGTGAAACTGAGAATTGCGGGCCAAAACAAAGGGCTGCTTTCCTCCTGGCAATAGGGGCATCTTCTGTGTGTTGGAAAGGCCAGGGGCACATTCCTCCTGGAGCCAATAGGGCCTAACCAGCAGTGAGGGCTCATCATATCCAGGAACCTCTCAGAGCAGATAAACAACTTTGATTGTTCAAGGTCTGTTCTTCTCTTGTTTTCTACAAGGTGTGGACTCAGGATTAGATTCTACTCTCAGTCTATGAATATTCAGTACTCACTCCGCTAAGGAGGAGGAAAGGTTCACATTCCAACACTGGGCTCATTAGAAAGGTCATCAGACAGAATTTCTATTGGAAAATAGATTATACATCACCCTGGCCAGTTTGGCTCAGCGGTTAGAGCGTCAGCCCGCAGACCAGAGAGTCCCAGGTTCGGTTCCCGCTAAGGGCATGTACCTCAGTTACAGTTTGTCCCCGGCTCCAGTTGGGGTCGTGTGGGTGGCAGCCAGTTGATGTGTCTCTCTCACATTGATGTTTCTCTTTCTCTCTCCCTCCTGCTTTATCTGAAGATGAATACAAAAATGTCCTTAGGTGAGGATAAAAAAAAAGATTGCACATCAACACCCAGAGAGTTTGTTCTTCCCCGAAAATCCAAACACCCCAACTTGTTCTTAAGACCCCAAATCACCCAGATTTCTGAAACCTGAAAGCTTTATTCAGCAGACATTCATTGAATGCCATCTGTATGTCATGTAAACAGTGGGGACAAGATCGTGGACCTTAGTGGGAGAGGCACATAGAAACGAACTAATACAATAGGATATTTTGAGTTCTACATAAGTTGGTGCAGACTGACAGAAGGATCCAGGAGAAGCATCAGACTTTGCCTTTGCAATCAGGGAAGTCTTTCCAGAAGAGGTGACATTCAGTCTCCAGGAGGAAATTACAGCAGAAGCAAAGGCCCAGGCCAGGGCTCACA